CACCATCTTCCTGCGTTTCCTCCTGACAAGGGGCCGTTGAGGAACGATTATTAGTAACCAAGGTGATAGAGCTGGGATGTGAGTAGAAGTCCATCTCGCTCCCAAATGTGCTCTCTGTCTCCTGCTCACAGCAGTTTGTCATCCCAGACTCTTCAGGTGCCCTCTCTAGTTCTATTATTTCTTTTTTTACCTCTATCCACACTACCCTTCTCCTCTGCTCCACAAGAGCACGCATCGCACGGCACTTACCGGATGTGTCTGGACACACACATAGGTTTATCCCTGAGAAATGTCTCGTGTTATTGATTTACATAAATGGTATTGTGTTCTAGGTATTATTTTCTCTTTTAGAACAAAAGCCAGAGTTAAGAGGAATTTGCCCCCCCCCCCCCCTTTGTTCCCCTGCATCTATGATTGAGCTGGGATATCTCATCTCATCTTCTCCGGCCCTTGCACTGGGATTTACACCAACAGCTTTCCTGCTTCTCAGGCCTTTAGACTCGGACTGAATTATATTTTCCTGGGTCTCCAGCTTGCAGATGCCAGATCATGGGACTTCTCAGGTTCCATAATCTCATGAAGCAATTCCTCATTCTCTCTCTCTCTTTCTCTCTCTCTCTCATTCTCTCCCAGCCTCTGACAACCACCATTCTATTCTCTACTTCTGAGTCTGACTATTTTAGATTCCACACATAAATGAGATCATGCAATATTTGTCTTTCTGTATCTGGCTTATTTCACTTAGCGGAATGTCTTCCAAGTTCATCCATGTTGTTGTGAATGGCAGGATTTTTACATACATACATAAATCTCACATTTTTTTCATCCATTCATCTTTTGATAGACATTTAGCATTTAGGTTATTTCTATACTTTGGCTGTTGTGAATAGTGCTGCATCGAACATGGGAGTGCAGATATCTCTTTGAGATACTGACTTCATTTCCTTTGAATATATACCCAGAAGTGGGATTCCTGTTCATAAGATAGTTCTTTTTTTTTTTTTTTAAGATTTTATTTATTCATTTGAGAGAGAGAGCACGGGGTGGGGGGCAAGGAGGGGCAGAGAGGAAGGAAGAGGCAGACTCCTCACTGAGCAGGGAGCTGGACATGGGGCTCGATCCCAGGACCCGGAGATCATGACCTGAGCCCAAAGCAGACGCTTAACCATCTGCACTGCCCAGGTGCCCCAGTTCTTTTTTTTTTTTTTTTTTAGGTTTTATTTCTTTATTTGAAAGAGAGAGAGAGAGAGCGAGAGCGGGGGCAGTGGCAGAGGGAAAGGGAGAGAGAGAATCTCAAGCAGACTCTACACTGAGCGCAGAGCCCAACAAGGGGCTCGATCTCACGATCCTGAGATCATGACCTGAGCCAAAATCAAGAGTTGGCTGCTTAACCCATTGCGCCACCCAGGTGCCCCTCATAAGATAGTTCTATTTTTAATTTTTTGAGGAACCCCCATACTGTTTTGCACAGTGGCTGCAGGAGTTTGCATTCCCACCAGCAGTGCACAGGGCTCAACACTTGTTACTTCTTGTCTTTTTGATATTAACCATTCTCACAGGTGTGCGGTGATATCTCCTAGTGGTTTTGATTTGCATTTCCCTGATGACTGGTGATGTTGAGCACTTTTCACATACCTGATGCCCAGTTGTTGGTTTTATTTTGAGAAATGTCTATTCAGGTCCTTTGCCCATTTTTAAATCAAGTTATTTGGGTGGTTTTTTGTTGTTGTTGTTGTTTTTGCTACTTAATTGTAGGAGTCCCTTATATATTTTGGATGTTAATGCCTTATCAGATATATGGTTTGCAGGTATTTTCTCCCATATCATAGGTTCCCTTTTCACTCTGCTTACTGTTTCCTTCGTTGTGCGGTTGTTTTTTCTCCCCCAGACGTATAACAGAATAAAGGAACATGTAACACAATCCACTTAGACTTTATAAACTTCAGTTAAACTCTTCTTTGAGAGCAGAGATCATGTTAAATTTATATTCTTTTTTTCCTATACCACCTTCTTTTTTTCTAACAACACAATACTCTGTACATAAATGTCAAATTAAATGAAGCTTCTTCCGTATTGAAAAAAATTAGCTATTTTGTCTGACCTGATTAAGGCTGAGGAAAATGTGTGAAACACACACAGTCGTGACTTTCAGGTCAACGAACAAACAAAAGTTCACCGAATCCAGCAATACTGAGGGTACGTTGGGGCAGTCTTTAACAGGTTGGAATGGTTACTTGAGGATCAATAAAGCAAAGAACTACTCCACATAGTAGGTAATAAACTTGGCTTTTATTACCTCTAAGAAAAGATGAAGGCAGAAAACACACAGGAATTTGAAGATTTAGAGAAATATGTATATTTAAAGGAGGCCTAAATTCCTACTCAGAGAAGATTTTAAAAATTACTAATAATTTATATCTACTTATGTGTTTCTCCCTCATGGTCTTCCCAATCAGCCCCTCAAAGGTAACTACCATCCTGACCTTGGTATTTCCATGTTCATGCTTTTTTAAAAGGTTTATCCTATGTATGTGTAAATGCCTAAACAATATATTGTTGTACTTGTTTTTAAACTTTGTGTAAAGGGCATCTTACTATGTGATATCTTCTGGGATTTGCTTTTTCCCCTCAATGTTATATTCCTGATATTTTTTATGTTGCTTCACTTTAGCTATGGTTTATTAATTTTTACTGTTGTATAGTATTCCGCTCTGTGAAAACAGCACAATTTATCCATTTTTCTGCTGGTGGACAACTGAATTTATTCCAAAATTTTGCTTTTATGGGTAGTGTTATTATGAACACTATTATACTTGTCTTCTGACACACACACACTAAAATTTATTTTGGGCATATACACCCAGGCATTGGCTTCAACTTTACAAGATAATGGATATGCTTGCTATCTAACATTGACTTCAGAAACAAAATCTAACATGGTGCACTGGGACCTCTGTGGATTACAGAATCCTAAACTGTACAGGCCATAAATGTGACGCAGTGTAACAATTCATCTTCCCCACCTCCTCTCAAACTCCTCAGGCTAGACGGGCAGATGGAGACAAGTAAAACTCCTCCCCCACATTCTTTCAGCTTTGTTTTTTGCCTTCCTCACCCCTGATGCTGAAAGATCCTCTCCTTGAGGCTTCCAAGTCCTTGACTAGGCTGGGTCCTCTGGGCAGAGTCTGGAGATTTTGGTGATGCCAGACATGCCACTCATCCTCTAAGGTCCAGCTTAATTTCCATCTTCTTCAAGATACTTTCCCTTATGCTGGTCCAACTCAATTCAACTAAACAGAATTTTAGAGCTTAACTATGCCTCATTAAACTACAAACCAAAGAATCAATGTGGCACAAAGAGCTCAAGGAGCTCTCAAAGGGCTCACTCTCCAATGAAGAGAAATAAGATAATAAAAAATTCAGATGCAGTGTGATGATAGAGGTGCACACAGACACATGGATGAGGAATGCAGAGCTGACACATCTCAGTTAGCTGCATCCATGACTTCCTTCCCGGATCTCTGATAGCTTTTATAATCTGTACATGAATTCCTTGTTCAGCATGAGAGCTTGCAGGATGCATTCATGACAATGGTACCACGAGCTGAAATCAACTCCATGTGGAATGGTTCTAACAGAGTATCTTTAGAAGTATACCCAGCATGGTCCTCTGGCAATTGAGCTTCCATGTTTTCAAATTCACCAAAGTCATGAGATACCTCTGGTCATCCTTTCTTACAACTCCCATTCACACAGCTGTGAGTTGATCCTCTCAGGCTACAAAGATGTTTACGGACTTTTACCAATTCCCAACTGCCTCCTGGTCCTTCCCCCTTGAAGATATTAGGAACCACCATAAAACTCAAATTTTAATATCCAGCATGATTCTATTCCTTTGTTTCTTTGTGGAATGTCATCACATGCACGTTTTTGTAAATCACTGTAGGTCAGTATTGCACAGAATAAATGGCACAAAGAAAGAATATGGTGGATAACATCATACCACATGATTTAGGATAACATGGTAGAACGCTCATTGGTTGAGGTCATTACAAAATGGTGTGCAAATTCATTGACCAAAGGTTACTGTAGAGTCTGTCAAGCTGTCTTTCATTGGCTGTGAACGTCCAATGGCAGTCCAAACGCAGAAAGAAGCATTATTATGGTACTGAAATAGACTATATATATGTCTTTAAAGAAAAATATTTCAGAGACAAGTATATTAAAACCAATAATTGCTGTTTTGGCAATGTTATGCTTGATCATATATATTTCTGAGTCTAGTAGGATCCTGTGGGAAATTTTTACATACCCCGCTTTTATTGCTTTATGGAAAAGGGTTATTACTGCTCCTCTATCCCAAAGTCTAAACCCTCAGAGACACTATCTTAGGAGTATCCTTAACACAGCACAAACTTTAATATGTAGTAGAGGCCAGCAAAATACCAATTTGTAATTAATATTTGCTGATGATGCTGGAGGGGGCAGCAAATAGAAGAGGCAAAGGTCCACCCCAGAGTCTAACACCTAGCTTCCACAAGGTTGAAGTTTCTTAATCTCAGCACTACTGACATTTTGGGCCAGATAATCCTTTGTTGTGGGGGCTGCCTAGTGTGTTACCTCATGTTTAGCAGCATCCTTGGCTTCTACTCACTAGATGCCAGCAGCACCGCCCCCACAATATGCAGACCAAAAATGTCGCTAGATGTTGCCAAATGTCCCCTTTGGTGGAGGTGGGGGATTGCCTCCAATTGAGACTGCTGCATTAAATCCATCTCATTGATTTTCTTTCAATCGCCAGATTCTGGTCGGGGCAAAAGAAGGCAACTCCTGGTCTAGAGAGATCAGGGTTGTTGTGTCATGTTATGAGAGAATATAAAATTATAGCTAAATTCTGAGGATCACTTTGTGCACATTTATTTACACTCATCTATCTCAGTTACTCTAACAAAATACTGGACAATTTGTAAGACTATTTATGGGTATCTATAGGACAGAAAGAGGAAAAGTAGAAAAAGTTGAATTTATTGGGAGTAGTTGAGCAATACTGCAAATGAATTATTTACTCATACTTGGCAGAACGCTTTGTAGTCTCAAGCTTCAGGAGGGCAGATAAGTCCCTCAGCTCCATGACTAGGTGACCAAGGAGAGCTCTTATATCCTGCATTTGTTTGAGAAGAATGCCCATCTGGTGATACAGATGGGGGTCTGGCACCTGCAGAGGAGAGGAGAAGCCTGGATCCTTAGAAGGGGTGGACAGTGGAGGCTGAAGTCCAGGAGAGGCTGTTGGAGTAGATTCTGGAACAGCTAATTTCTGAGGAGCTGGATTCAAGGTGGGGGATGCAGTAGAGCTGGAGGGACCTGTATTATGGGGTAAGAGGCACATGTAAGAGTGAAATCTGACTCTGGCCCTAACCTCATATTCGTGGTCAATCTTTCTTTGTTTTCTGAAAGTGGCTATGGGGTCCAATGGCAGCCAAGGTTTGAGGATTCCCTCATGGTTAAAATTTGAATCGGAGGCTTGGCTACCACAGTTTGAAAATCTTCAGTGATGAGGCTTCATCATTACAGGGCTATAGATATTAGCCAATTCTTACTCTCTCAAGGCAGAACCTAATTCCCTGTAGTGTGGATGTAGTAACTGGTCCTAGGTCAACATCTTCACTGTATATGACATTAGTGTAATTCCTCATCTTTGTGCCAGCCTTCAGTGTTTTTTTTTTTTTTAAAGATTTTATTTATTTATTTGACAGAGACACAGCGAGAGAGGAAACACAAGCAGGGGGAATGGGAGAGGGAGAAGCGGGCTCCCCGCAGAGCAGGGAGCCTGACACAGGGCTCGAACCCAGGACCCTGGGACCATGACCTGAGCCGAAGGCAGACGCTTAACAACTGAGCCACCCAGGCGCCCCATAGCCTTCAGTGTTTTGAGGACACCTCCATTGGCCCCTTGGGTCACCTCCTCTTCAAGATGAGTATCTTCCACTCCCCTCCCCCCATGATTTTTCTTATGACATGGTTTCAAGCCCCCTCATTACCCTGGATACCACCTCTTCTGGATAAATTATTTCAGGTCAAATGCATACTTTTTAATTGGGGGTCCCTGAACTGAACATAAACTCCAGACTACCTCATCTTCATTCTAGATACTATATTCCTGCAGATGCCCAGAGTTCATGTTGGGAGAATAAGGTCTATGGGGCAGCAGCTGTGGAGCTGGCTCAGGTCTTTCTTGGTTTGGTGAGGGTGTGCACTGTGGTCTGAGGGAGAAGTTCCCTATCTGTGCTCTCTTCCATCCCCAGGGACTCTGGCTTATTGTTCCTGCTTCCCCTGTGTCCTTTCTTAACCTGCTCATACCAAACGCCAGCTCATGGGTCCAATCTTTCCTTCACTTTTCATACACACCAGACAAATACACACTCACTTACCCTGCACCTGGATCTCCAGCTTGGAGCTCTGTTTCCAAACTTGGTTGTCCTCAGTGACTGCTTCACACCAGTAGGACCCAGAGTGTGCCTCTGAAGCTGTGGGGATCTGGAATTCTGGGGAGAGGCCCCTGCCACGCACTGTCCTGCTGTCCTTGTAGAAGGAGAAGAGGAGGCGGGCGGTTGACCTCTGCAGGGGCAGCTTTGTCTGACAGCTCAGGGTCACTGGGTCCCCCTCTTTGGGCTCAGCTGAGGGGGTGGCTCTGAGAAGTGGGGCTGGAAACAGTTCTGAGGGAGAGAGAGGTGAGAAAGAAGAGCTCAGCCATCCTACATTCAGGCGGACCCATGCCAGGTAAAGAACCCAGCCACACTTTCCTCCCCCTATTTCCATCAGGAATGAACACTCTTAGTAAAGCTGCATTTGAACTTTTCAAATCTTCTCTCTCTTCAACTAGAAAAGATTAGAAAAGACCCAGAGATGGGCAAATCTGACAATAGTCCAGACGCCCAATCAGTGAACACTGGGAAGCATGGCTCTGTAGGCTAGAGCTGTGGGAAGCATACTAAATGGGGAGAGGGCTGAATGACTTGAGAATGCAATGCTGAGATGCTGCCCCTCCTGAAGCCCAAATTGGGCATTTGCCAGCAACACGTTCCTTAGCCTTCGGTGATCTTGCCACCTCCAGTGAAAGACAGTCTTGGTCCCTCTGTGTCTCCCCACCTGCCTCTGCCCCAAAGACATTCCCTTCAGCTCTCACCTTGGACCTTGATAGCCACGGGAGATGCTGTTTCTGGGCTCCCGGGACCAGGGCTCCTGAAGATACCACTGCAGTGATAGTGCCCGCTGTCAGCCTGTCGCACCACAGCGATGGAGAATTCCCTATTAGGTCCAGGGGGACCCATTGCTGAGCCATCTCGGTAGAAGGTCACCTGGGTCAGTGGCCAGTCTTGCCAGGCCTGGCAGCGTAGAATCAGTGGGTCGCCTTCAAATATAGGGCTGACTGGACCTTGGAGGATCACCCAGTCTGTGGCCAAAGCAGAATTGAGTGTGACCCACTGCCTTCCTTGGGAGTTCCCTGTGCTACCCACATAGACTCCCCCTAAGCTTTCTCTGAGGGTCCAGGTAATTCTCACCCCTAGTTGGGAATGTAGAACAACTTCTCTAAGGCCTAAGACTGAGGGAACCTTGGCTTTTGGGCTGAATATGGGGAAGATGGCACAGTAATCCCCCGTTATCCACAGTTTTGCTTTCCATGGTCAACTGCAGTCCAGAAGCAAATGATTCTCCTTCTGACATATCATCAGAAGATCAATAGTAGCCTAATACTACCTCACAATGCCTATGTCATTCCCCTCACTTATCAAGTAGGCATTTTATCATCTCACATTATCACAAGATAGGTAAGTATTAGTACAATAAGGTATTTTGGGAGAGGGAGAGACCATTCTCATAACTTTTACCATAGTACATTGTTATAACTATTCTATTTTATTATTAGGTATTGTTGGTAATCTCTCACTGATCTCTTACCGTGCCTAATTTATACTTTACTATAGGTATGTAGGTATAAAAAAAACTTAATATATTTAGACTTTCGTACTCCCTGCAGTTTCAGGTATCACTGGGTGTTCTGGAACATATCCTCCATGGATAAGGGGCAGGGGGAGCTACTGTATCTCATCCCATGGCCAGTTTCCTGGGGGCCCCTTCCTGAGTGGGCTGGCAGTCTAAACAGGCAGGTTTGGGAAATGGGAGAAAGAGAAGACCTATACAAGTCAGTCCTTCCCGAGACCTCACCGTAAGACACAATCAGATGGAAGGGTTTACTGAAAGTGTAGCCCTTGACCTGGAAGTCAACTTCCCTTGGGTCCTCCTGGGTATCGCAGCTGCTGTCCTGGGTCCTGACTGGTCCTTCACATTGCAGCATCTCAAAACCGGCAGCTGAGGAGGGCATGGTTTGAGAACCAGAAAACAATGCTGTGATTTGGAGGAAGAAGGCAGAAACTGCCCTCTACAAGGGAATCTCCAGGAGAATCATCCTTTTTAGAGTGAGAAGGAAGATGAAAACAATGCTGTGACTTGGAGGAAGGAGACAGAAACTGCCCTCTATAAGGGAATCTCCAGGCGAATCATCCTTTTTAGAGTGAGAAGGGAAGATGCCAAAACCCATGTGGGTCTCTTGATCCAATACTTTTGAGTTGATTCACTGGTTTTCAAGTGCTTTCAGTGAATGGACCATGGTATGGGGAAGAGGGCGGGGAGAGAATGGCAGAATGTGAACTCACCAGCATGATATCCAGCTGCTGGTGCAGGAAACCAGAGGCCAAAGGCAACAATGACCCCAGAGCAGGTAGACACAGGACACAAAGAAAAGGGAGATGATTAGATTTTAACACTCACCAGGGGGTGTTTATCGTAAGCCATACACCACTAGGCATTTTTACACATGATTTTACTTAATCTTGACGAGATTTCTAGGTATGTGATTTCACTCCCAATTTTATAAATCTAAGAGAAACAGGCTCAGGATAGTTTGACAATTTACCCAAAATTTCAAAAGGGAGTAGGGAATGGAGCAAGAAAGGAAGGTATGTCTGAGTCCAAAATCAGTGTTCACTGTTTAGATTTGATCAACAGTAGGTCTCTGACCTTCCTTGGGGGTTTCCTTCCAAATTTTCATTTTCTCAAAATTCCCTTGGCTGTTCATCCATGAATACATTATCTACCAATTAACTTCCAGTACCTAGCAGTGTCTCCTCCTTCCTTGCTACCTCCTTTCGGGTCTTCATTTTTCAGCCATTTCTACCTTGATGTCCTCTGTCCCTTAAACTTTCCATGGCAACTGTAGAGCCCTTCCTATGTCCTTCTCTCCACTCCAAACCTCTGCTCCCAGTCTGTCCTGGTAACTATGGAACAATTCTTTCTCTGCTTCCAGGTGAAAACTTAGAGTTAAGGATTTCTCATTGTATCTCCTCAATCTATCTCTTAGCTCCATGATTGACTCAGGCAAGGTTAATTTCCATTCTTCTCATTTTCATGACTGCTTCTTGTCCCTTAATCCCTCTCCTCTTCTTCTGGTCCCATGGCCATTCACATATACTCAATTCTTCTCTCCATTCTTTCCTGGTTTACTTGCCTCTGTTTCATTCCACTCCCTAAGACCCAAAACTCTTCTTTGACCCTGTAACTTCCCCTAGCAACGCCCCTTTCCACTTCGTAATTCTCATTACATCAGTACCAGGTGTTTTCTTTAGATCCTCCTTCAGCTCCCTTCACCACCCTGCTGCTACCTTTTTCAGTTCCTCCGCTGTCATTCAACTAGACTCAGCCTCCACTCCTTTTTGAACATGAACTTGTGGGTTGCTAGGCACTTTCACTCACTAAATTATGAGGTAGGTATTAGTCTCATTTTATGAATAAGAAAATGGAATTAGAGGGGTGCCTGGGTGACTCAGCTGGTGAAGCGTCTGCCTTCGGCTCAGGTCATGATCCCAGGGTCCTGGGATCTCTGCTCAGCAGAAAGTCGGCTTCTCTCTCTCCCTCTGCCCCTCCCCCCAACTTGTGTTCATGCGCACGTGCACTCTCTCTTTCTCTCTCTCTCCCAAATAAATAAAATCTTAAAAAAAAAAAGAAAATGGAATTAGAGATATCAAAAGTGAATTTTCCAAGGTGACAGAGAGCTAGTTAATAGAAGAAGAATGGCTTAAAACCAGTGTCTGGAGTTCTTGCCACAATACCAGTGTTGTATCTTCGTAGTCACCCAGTCCTGTTTCTACGAGTTCAATAAAATGATTCAACAAAATTTTTGTGCAGGGAACAAGGCAGATGCTAAAAATTCAAACAAATTCGACAAGGTTAAAAAACAAAAACAAGGGCGCCTGGGTGGCTCAGTTGGTTAAGCGACTGCCTTCGGCTCAGGTCATGATCCTGGAGTCCCGGGATCGAGTCCCGCGTCGGGCTCCCTGCTCAGCGGGAAGTCTGCTTCTCCCTCTCCCGCTCCCCCTTCTTGTGCTCTCTCTCTCTCTCTTTCTCTCTCAAATAAATAAATAAAATCTTATAAATAAATAAATAAATAAACAAATAAATAAATAAATAAATGAAGGGCACCTGGGCAGCTCAGTTGGTTGAGCGACTGCCTTCGGTTCAGGTCATGATCCTGGAGTCCCGGGATCGAGTCCCGCATCGGGCTCCCTGCTCGGCGGGGGGTCTGCTTCTCCCTCTGACCCTCCTCCCTCTCATGCTCTCTGTCTCTCATTCTCTGTCTCAAATAAATAAATAAATAAAATCTTTAAAAAACAAAAACAAAAAAGCATTGTCCCGGTCTACAAATAACTCAGTTTAGTGGACAGCACAGTCATATGAAGAGATTATATCAGCATGAGGAGGAAAGTAATAACAAAGACATATGACAGGCAGCCATTAGGGCAGAAAGGAGGGTTCAAAGAAGCTTCCCTGGTGAAGATGCCACCTATGCAGAATCTCCAGGGGATGCCTAAAAGTTTGTGAGTGAGAGGGAATAGGGGCCATGGAGAGAGCTCATTTCAAGCAGAGGTAAGCAGTATGAGCGAAGCTTGGAGATAGGTAATAACCTGGTGTGTGAGTGGATAAATACAAGCAGGTCGGGGTTTATTACAGCATAATATGCAGGGCTCATAGGCTAACAGCAGAGGCTGCAGAGGTTAAATAGGAACCAGGCTACGGTGGGCCTTGTGTGCATTGGCTGCAGAGCGCAGAATCCATTTCAAGGGCACAAGGCTGAGACATGGAGGTTAGTCAGGAAGTTATGGGACTATCCAAAGTCCACAATGATGAGGGCTTTTCCTAGCATACTATTAGTTCTGTTTCAAGGAAGGGACTGTCTCTAAGAACAGTTTAGAAAGTGCATTTGGCCAAACTTGCTGATTGATCATATGCAGTGGATGGAGAGGGAGGACCCTAGGTGTTCTCCCAAGTTTTTGGCCTGGAGGCCCGGGTGGATGCCATGAATTGAGATCAGACATAGTGAAAGATGAAATTAAGAGAGTAGGGGCCAGGAGGACAGATGAGTTCAGCTCTGGTCATATTGTGCTGAGATACCTGTGAAACATGCAGGTAGATATGTCTTGTGCAAAGTTGGATCTTTGACTGTGAAACTCAAAAGCACAATTAGGGTTGGAGATACGACTTTGGGCTCTTTTTTTTTTTTTTAAGATTTTATTTATTTATTTGACAGAGAGAGACACAGCAAGAGAGGGAACACAAGCAGGGGGAATGCGAGAGGGAGAAGCAGGCTTCCTGTGGAGCAGGGAGCCCGATGTGGGGCTCGGTCCCAGGACCCTGGGATCATGACCTGAGCCGAAGGCAGACGCTTAACGACTGAGCCACCCAGGCGCCCCTCGACTTTGGACTCTTAAATAGATAGTCGTAGTGGTAAAAATGATACAGATAAATGAACTCACTAAGGAAATTGTGTAAAGAGTGAAGGGTAGAAAGGCAGGAAAGCAACAGTAGAAAACACCAGTCTTTAAGGGGAAGAGAACATAAGCCATCGAAGGGACAAAGACAGGTACATGGAGTGCAAGGAAAAAATGGCACATGGAAGTCAGGCGAGCAGAGAATGCCGAGAAAGAATAAGTGACCAACACTGCCCAATGCAGCAGAGAAGTCCAGCAGCAGAAGAATTAAAAGGTGGGCCATGGTGCAGTCCATATGGAAGTCATTGCACCCTGGCAAAGCTGATTCCAGTAGAAGCCAGACTGGAAACACTGAAGTATGAGTGAGAAGTGAGGAAGTGGAGAAAGCAAGTGCAAACTACTCTTTCAAGAAATATGAGAAAAGGAAGAAAAAGAGTTGAGATGGTAGCTCAATAGGGCATCACAGTCAAGTGGACTTTTAGAATGGAAAAGGCTTGAAGATTTTTATATTCAGAAAGAACCATTCAATCCTGCACACCAGACTTTCTAATATCTACCCTTCATTTCCCATCTGCACATTGCTTCTTTGGGCCAAAGTCAGACCACGTATCTTGCCATTGATCAAAGTCAGGCATATCTCCTTTCCCACACCAATGTTCAAACATATCACTTACCCAGCAGCATCTGGACTGCCCAGAGCATCGTAGGAGAAAAGTAGAGGACCCCAGCCATGAGGACAGAGCCCAGCTTCATGGTGACTGTGTTTAGGTCTCCTGCAGCCTCTAACGCACTGATTTTCTTCAACATGAAACCTCTCAAGTTAGAAAAGAGGAAGTAAATCTAACTGTCTCATCTCCTTGCATCTGGGGCCTATTTTCAACTTTGTGATTGGCTTTCATCATTCAGATTTGGCTAGGTTGGCTCCAGCATCGTCTACATCCTTAGGACTGTGGGTGAAATAGTAACACTCTCAATTGTTCAAGAACTCCCCCATAGAGCTCAGAGACCTTCCAAAGCACATTATTTTCTGATATCCCTCTGGCCTTCAGGACACTCTGAGAAGGGTCAGGGCAACAGCCCTTCATTTCACTGATGAAGCAGCTGGGGACAAGAGACAGGGAATTGCTTGAAGACAACATGGAAAGTCACTGGGAGAGCAACAATGAGAATTCACGCGTCCTGCCCTATCCTGCCCCAAGACTTCCATGTTTCTAGTGACCAGACTGTCGAAAGGGGAAGGGGATCGGTAATGGCACCCGATCAGATATCAGATTAGTCCCCTGTGGGCTCCAACCAACCAAAGCCCACACAAATTTGTATGAAAATTTCTCTAGACTCATGTCTCAGCTCTCTGTTTCTGCAGCAAGATTAAGGCTATTTAGTCTCAGAGGAAATCTGAGTATGAGGCAGAGTCCCCTGGGAAAGAGGAGAAGGAAGAAGAAAATTGACTTCCAGAGGACATAGCAGTAAGCCCAGGGCTCAGGCTCAGGGCCAAAGCTTGAGCCACTGATCCTGAGGAAATTAGAGACAGGAGGCATCTGATAGCTGGAGAAACCTAAGGAGACTCAGGAATAAGAGTGATATGGAGGCTATAGGATCTCTCGTCAGCTCCAGGTGGCCTTATGAGGACCGTTGTCCTTGCCTCTGAATGTTTGCTGTTGGATCGAGGCCTCCTTAATGGCAGGGCCCATGCCTCTTGTCCCAGGGACCACACTCCTTACCCTTCCCCTCCCCATCATAACACCCACCATGAGATGAAACAAGTCATCAGAAATGGGAGAAAGCAGTCCTGCTTGAAGGCAGAGGGAGGGCCAGCATGACCCTTCAGCTGTGCAGAAACCACAGATCAGAGCACACATATTAGCAACATGGGCATGAGAGAACGGATATTTCTCAATCTAAAATAAGCATTTAGAATAAATTTTCCACTATCTGAGAGGCATATATTTTTGTGCAGGTGGCCCCAGGGAATCCAGCGGGGGTTGAATATGGGCGTGGGGAGTCAGTGAGGCAGTAAGCCTTGCAGCTGATGTGATGTGAAAGACCCAGCAGCCTCAGAAGAGGAAGAAAATTGCTGGCCAGACCTAATCAAAATTAAGAAAATGAAATGTGTTTATATGGACCTCTACTCCTAACACTCCCTAGAACAGAGTCTCAGGGTTAGATAGGTCTTCAAGGGGCTTCTAAACCAACCACAAAAATCTTTCCCTTCTTACGCCACCCCTTCTCTTTAACTGCCCTTCCACACTATCATACCTGGATAGAGACCCTCCTCCGTACCATCTGCATCAACTCACAAGATCTCAATATGAGAAGCAAGAAGGCCTCTGAAGACGTGGGGTGAAGCTATCGTATTCTTCACACTTAAATTCCTACTAAGGCCTCTGGGAAATTTTACTCACTTGAAGCCTGATCAATGAACTATTTAGAGTAGGAGAAAAAGGCAAACTTTGGCCTTGCTATGTGCTTATGAAGACTGAAATCCAGTTCACTGAGTTAGCTATGCCATCCAGATCATTCCAGAATTCTCATGGGGAGATGGGGCAAGTCCTTGACTTCACCTCATCCCAGCACCATGGGTTAATGTCTGTTACCATTCCCAGCTGCACCTGGCTTGTCACTAGCAGGCTGATGCTTCTTTTTCCTTTATTTTTAATTGAGTAGATAAAGATATTTATAAAAGATGTGAAGGTTTAAAGAATAATAGAAAAATATGCAGTTTTGTACCCTTGCCCGGTTGAAGAAATAGAATAATACCTTTATCCTGGAAGTACAGTGTGGGTCCCTTCTGATTATATTCTCTTCCTTCCCCGTGATAATCATCCACAACCCTAATCTTGTATTTATCACCCCCCTTTATTTTATAGTTGCAATAATTTTGTACTTTTGAACTTTCAATAAATAGAATCGTATTTTATTTATTGTTCTAAGACTTAATTTCTTCTTTTTTTTTTTCTTGTGAATTTCTTTTATTAGTCTTTTGCTTGGTCCTTAATTCCTTACCTGCCATGCTTCAGGTCAGATGTGTGTGTGTGTGTGTAGGATGTTTAAACACTTTTTTTAAAGAGTAGTTTTAGATTCACAGCAAAATTGAGGGGTGTAGAGAGTGCCCATGTACCCCTGCCCCTACACACCCATAACCTCTGACATTATCAACATTCTCCCAAGAATGGTACATTTGTTACAATTGATGAACCTACACTGACACATTATCATCACTCAAAATCCATAGTTTACATTAGGGTTTACTCTTGGTGTTTACATTCTATGGGTTTGGACAAATGCATAATGACAGATACCCATTATTATAGCATCATGTGGAGTATTTTCACTGCCCTAACCACTCTGTGCTCTGCTATTCATCCTAAACCCTGGTAACCACTGGTCTTTTTACTGTCTCTATAATTTTGCCTTTTCCAGAATGTTACAGAATTGGAATCATACAGTGTATAACCTTTTCAGATTGACTTCTTTCACTTAGCAATGTGTATTTGGGTTTCCTCCATGTCTTTTTCTGGCTTGATGGCTCATTTTTTTTTTTTAGCCCTGAATAAAATAAATAAAACTCCTATGGACAGGAGCGCCTGGGTGGCTCAGTCGTTAAGCGTCTGCCTTCGTCTCAGGTCATGATCCCAAGGTCCTGGGATCGAGTCCCACATCGGGCTCTCTGCTCGGCGGGAGCCTGCTTCTCCCTCTCCCACCCCCCCTGCTTGTGGTTCCTGCTCTCGCTGTGTCTCTCTCTGTCAAATAAATAAATAAAATCTTTAAAAAAAAAAAAACTACTATGGACATTTATATACCAGTTGTAACATACACATAGGCTTATTTATAGTGAGATATAATGGACATAAAACATTATATTAGTTTCAGGTGTACAACATAAGTATTCAATATTTGTATATATCACAGAATGACTACTACAACTCTAATTAACATCCATCACCACACATGGTTACAATTTATTTTTCCCGTGATGAGAACTTTTAAGATCTACTCTCTTAGCAACTTTCAAATATACAATCCAGCATTATTAACTAGAGTCCCCATGCTGTAGTTATAACCCCATGACTTACTAGCTTTCATTTTTATTTTTTTTCGAATACCATTTTTTAAAAGATTTTATTTATTCACCTGACAGATAAAGACATAGCAAGAGAGGGAACATAAGCAGGGGGACAGGGAGGGAGAAGCAGGCTTCCCGCTGAGCACGGAGCCCAGTGTGGTCTCGATCCCAGGACCCTGAGATCATGACCTGAGCCGAAGGCAGACGCTTAACGACTGAGCCACCCAGGCGTCCCCAGCTTTCATTTTTATTGAGCAACCAGGAGTAGACTGGCTGACCCATAGAGGTGTAGGTGTGTGTTTCACTTTTTTATTTTTATTTTTAAATTTTTATTTATTTATGTAATTATGTATTATGTGTGTACTTCTATAATTTTCTATTGTCATAAAATACACACAACATAAAGTCAACCGTCTTAACCATTTTTAAGTGTCCAGTTCAGGGGTATTAAAGACATTTGTAATATTGTGCTACCATCACCACCATTCATCCCCATTACTCTTTCATCTTATGAAACTGAAACCCTGTCGCCATTAAACAAGAACTCTTCATCTTCCCCGGTAGAAGGGCATCCACCATTCTACTTCTATCTCTATAATTTTGACTAAGTACCTCGGATAAGTAGAATCGTATTTGTTTCTTATGACTAGCTTAGTTCACTTAGCATAATGTCTTTAAGATGTATCCATGTTGACGCCTATGTCAGAATTTCCTTTCTTTTTGGGGGGCGCCTGGGTGTGTCAGTCAATTAAGCATCTGCCTTCAGCTCAAGTCATGATCCCAGAGTCCTGGGACTAAGCCCCACATCAAGCCCCGCATTGGGCTCCCTGCTCAGCTGAGAGCCTGCTTCTCCCTCTGTCTGTCACTCTGACTGCTTGTGTTCTCTCTCTCTGACAAATAAACACATAAAATCTATTTTAAAAATTAAAAAAAAAGAATTTCCTTCCTTTTTAAGGTTGAATAATAAATATTCCACTATATATATGTACACCACATTTTGCTTATCCATGGATGGGCAGTTGGGCTGCTTCCACAATTTAGCTATTGTGAATAATGCCGCTAAGTACATGGGTGTACAAATATCTCTTCAAGACCCTACTTCCAATTCTTTGGGGTATATACCCACAAGTGAAATTTCTGTATCATATAATACTATTTTTAATTTTCTGAGGAACCACCATTCACTTCCCGCAGCAGCTGCACTAATTTACATTCTCACCAGCAGTGCACAAGGGTTCCAATTGTTCTAAGTCCTCAGCAATACTTGTCATTTTCTGTTGTTGTTTTTTTTTTCTGCTAGTAGCCATCCTAATGGGTATAAGGCAGTATCTCATTATAGTTCTGATTTGCATTTCCCTAATGATTAGTGATCTTGAGCATCTTTTTATGTGCTTATTGGCCATTTGTTTATCTTCTTTAGAAAAATGTCTATTCAAATTCTTTGCCCATTTTAAAATTTGATTTTTTTTGTTGAGTTTTAGGAGTTCTCTATATGTTCCGGACATGAACCCCTTAGCAGATTTATGATTTGCAAATGTTCTCACTCATTCTGTGGGTCGTCTTTTCGAGATGTTGATACTGTCTTTTGATGCACAAAATTTTTAAATTTTTATAAAATCCAATCTATTTTTTAAAAAGATTTATTTATTTATTTGAGAGAGAGAGAATAAGAGAGAGTACATGGGGGGGGGAGGGTCAGA